TTTAATCAGATGACCACGTTTGTTGTAAGATTCAGATAATTATTTATTCAAAGTTTTTAAATGACATAACAAAGAAAAGTATTTCTTTGTGCCCCCCTCTCCCTGTTAATGCCCTACCTGGCCCCCCTGGCAAAACTTTGCTAGACCCGCCCCTGCACAGTTACCAGCTGTCAGCTACTTAGAAAAGGATCCTGGTGTTATTTGTCTCTCAGAAACAGTTCATAACTTCCCTTCAACTCATTCATGTCACCTAAAAGGTAAACCTGTTTCTCCATCACCTGTTCAGCTCTGATGATTCAGTAAGGACATCTCCTGGTTTCATCTTCATGTTTCCCTCTCACCAGATATCAAACCGATATCATGACCAGCAGCTTTACAGCTGTGGCTCCAGCAAACATCAGCTGATACTAGAAATTAATATTAAATAAATTCTAACAACAGCTGATCAAGCTTAAACGTGCTGCTGTTGTTTAGCGCGACATCCGCTGGTTTCCTCTTTCTGGCGCAAAGTGGAGCGATAAACAAACAAGAGAGAAAAGCCGATCAGCTGATCATTGATCAGTTTCATGATTGAAGTAGAAACGGGAGGGGAGAGAATGAGAGAAGAAGCAGCTGCAGTAGTGATGTGTCGTCGCGAACGAAATGGCTCTTAGAGCCGACTCTTTGAAGTGAACGACGCGAGCCTGTGTTTTTTTTTTTTCTTTCTCTCACCCTCTCTCGCACTTTTTCCGCTTCACTCCGCACGCGAGCCTTGTACTTTGCTGGGCAGAGGGGGGAGGGGCGTTGTTACACTCGCAGTAGCACAGGAACAGAGCCAGAGAGAAAAGAGAGCAAGGGACAACAACGTCACATTAGAAAGGTATAGTAATCATCCACTATTTTCAGTTGCAGATGATAAAGGATTCAGAAATCATGCAGGCCCATATGACAGAGAATGTGCATCTTCTTTTTGTTTTAATATTTTAATTTATATTTAATTGTGTTGTGGTTTGCAGTGTTTTGTGTTGTTTCACGTTAAATTTGTTTAAAAGGAAAAAGCTGAAAATTTAAATAGTTAAAAGTTTAAAATGTAAATAGTTGTTTTGTATTATATGATTTATTTATTACATTTTATGTGGAGTGAATAAATAAAAGTATATTTACGGTGGCCCCTACAGACAAAGCACGTACAAACTCCAAAACACGTACAAACTCCTAAGCATGTACAAACCCTAACACGTAAAAACTCCAAAACACGTAAAAACTCCAAAACACGTACAAACCCAAGCACGTACAAACCCGGAAGCACGTACAAACTCCAAAACACGTAAAAACTCCAAACACGTACAAACCCCGAAGCACGTACAAACTCCAAAACACGTAAAAACTCAGAAGCACGTACAAACTCAGAATCACGTACAAAAGACAACAGAAGTGCTCCAGGATGCTAGGCGCAGTGTTGAGCTTTTGTTACCTAGTGGCTACACAAGCCAGGAAGTATCAACAACCGGATTTGGTGTGTGGTAGTAACAGGTAAATGAACTTTTTTTTTAAATTATTTGAATAAATATGAGTGCTTGTCTATAAATACACAAACAATACACATATGCTTTCAATTGTGTAATTTAAGTGATCTGGGTAGCTCTGTTTTGGAAGTTCAGTTAACGCTAGAAATGTGTTTTGGAGTTTGTACGTGCTTTTTGGAGTTTGTATATGCTTTAGAGTTTGTACGTGCTTTGGGCCGATCACCAAATCGGTCGCAGACTCAAAAATCGCTCAAAATGGGCCAAAAATCGCACAGTGTAAGCCCAGCATTAGAGCAGCAATGTTTGTTCCCTCAGAGAAAGAAAAAAAGGCTGCAAAAGTACAGGGAGGAATGGGAAAAGGAAAACACCTGGCTGGAAAATGCACGATAACACCTTTAAAGCGCACTGCACTGTGTGCCGGCGCACTTTTTCCATAGGCATGCTTCTAATGGTGGGCACATGAAGAACATGAGGGGCGTGAAAGCTCGGGGAACCCTTAACCAATTTTTTGTCCACCAGGCCACGGCAGAAGCAGATATGGTATGTAAACACTGGTTTGTTTTTTTAAACCCTCTGGTTAAGGTTAATATGGGCATGTGCAGTGAATATCAGCGCTATGTGGCCAGAAGTGTGATAATATAATTTATTTTGTGTAATAAACAACTGCAAGGATAGATGATTACAACAAATAGATGACTAATACATAAAAGTAATACATAGATGAATAATGATGATGAGTTAATGATGCGTAATCATGGGAACAAGCGGGTTTACAAACAGGAGCAGCTGATTAGCATTAGAAAAGCTGAAATAATACCTCAACTGAAGCCAATTGTACTAAATGCACTATATGTGCACTGTTACAAGAATATTTTTTTAAATTTACCCTTTTTAATTTTTCATATTTATTTCCTATCTTATTCATAGCCTTTTCCTTTTTTGTTTTCTTTAGGTCACGAGCAGTTGTCCAAGCATTTCACTACATATCGTACTGTGTATGACTGTGTACGTGACAAATAAAATTTGAATTTGAATTTGAATTTGCTTTTGTTCTATTGCTTTCTATTAATTTATATAATTTTAAGTTAAGCAGGACAGAGTTCTTTTAAAGAAAGATTTACTTATATTCTCAAAAGTTAAGCATGACAGGCTTCTGTTTAAGAAAGAGACCTGTTTTACTGTGTTAATGTTGTCATTTTGAGCTAAAAATAAATGGCTAAATGATCATTTGTTTCCCATATGGTCATATCACAAAGAATATGCATCTGCTTAAATCAAATTCAAGTCAAATGGTTAAAAAATAATTTCACACACAAAAAAAGAGCTACCACACTGGGAAGGGTGAAGACAACTGGGTTGCCCGGCCCTGGCCACGAGGTGTCCCTTATTTATTTTTCAGGGAGTTGGCAACCCTAATTCTAGCTGAAGTACGGGACAAACAGTCATAGCTGGACTGGCCAGACTGCCTGGTATGCCCGATGGTGATTTTTCGTTTTTATGGGCCGATGTTTGTTTTTTTTTTCGTTTTTTTCCGTAACGGTATAAACACTGAAAGGTGGTGGATTGGCCAGATGCTGGGAGATGTGTAAAAATAACTCAATTGTTTGGTGGTGGCTATTGCGGAGCTTCCACAGATTCAGTAACATTAGCAAGTGGTGGAGGCCAGCAGATGCAACAGCTGGCAGGTGGATGACAGAAAGGCAGGAGGAGCAGAGACCCGAGGCGGTGAACTGAACTTCAGGTAAGAAGTTATGACCTGCAGTCAGTAGCGGTTTTTGATACGGGCGACACGGGCGGTTGCCCGGGGCGGCATCCGGGCATTGGCAAAAAAAAAAAAAAAAAAAATTGCTTGTACTCATGCTGCCCCGACATCAGCCAGCGCGTATTGGGAATGGCATAGGCACCGATTGTTTTCTATCGCCGAGAGAATCGTGAGCGCGAGAGCCCTCGGTGCGCCTGCTTGCTGCTGAAGTCAAAGTAAACTTTATTGTCATCTCCGCTACATACAGTCCAGTATATAGAGAGACGAGACGACGAGGCTCCAGTTACAGCAGTGCAAGTAAACAAACAATAAATATAAGAAGAGTAAGAAAATAAATATACACTTTAGGACTCGGGGTAAAGGGATCAATAACAATTTAAAATTTACAGTTTGATGATTTAAAGTCTCACACACAACCCGTCGAAAGGGGAGGGGGCGGCTGCTTCCAAATAGAGCACATTTCATTCATAATGTTGTAAATCCAAGCCCATTATGTATTCATGATTTGAATCCTGGGTTGTGTGAAATCCCAGAAATACACCTAGACAAAGTGAATCTGTGAACTAAGGTGTAGGTCTATTAGGTTATGTTGTGGTGATCCTCGAGTTGGGGGATTTGTGTTCATACTGGAGTGCAAAATTAAAACCAATGGAAGATGGACAAGAAAAGTTCAAAGCCATCAGGTGCTCAGTTTAGAAAAAATAGAAAAGAAGAGGAGGAGAAACGAGCAAAAGATACAGGTAAGCAGATGTGTCATTGGATAATGGCAGGTCATCCTGAAACAATCAGAATCAGAATACTTTATTAATCCCTAAGGAAATTATGTGGATTACAGTTGCTCCAAAAGAAATGGTAAAAATAGTAACAGTAACAGACTAAACTCCAAACAATACATTATGTTACAGATTTTAATATTAATTAGTCATTGTCAATTGTTGATTTGTCCTGTTCTCATTGTATGACGAATTATGATGGCTGTTTGGTAGCCGTTTGCATACTATGCATACTCTCTCTCTCTTCATATGTGTGTGTGTGTGTGTGTTTCTCTGGTGAAATTCAGTATGGTTCCGACAACAGTTTTATGTTAATGTACAATCCTTAATATGTTTTTATGTGTGTGTGTGTGTGTGTGTGTGTGTGGGGGGGGGGGGGGGGGCCAGAGGGAGTGTTCGCCCGGGTGCCAAACAGGCTAGGACTGCAACTGCCTGCATCTATCTGGGTCAGATATAAACCAAGTTTAGGTGAGTTTATTTTCATTGTGCTGACTTTTTACAGTCAGTTACAATAACTCGTACTGCGTACTAGCTAGCATGACGGAGTTTCTATACAGCTGGGTGGTGCTATGATGTTACTGATGTTGAACTTATTATTTTATTTATAAGGTTAATTATTAGAGTTTCCAACTGTCCCGTAAAAAACGGAATCATCTCATATTCAGAGAAAATATTGCGTTTCGTATTGAGGTGAAAAGGAACAGTTTGTCCCGGACTTCAGCTACAATGAAAAAGACACAAAGCTGGAGTTATTCTGTGTTTACGCCGCACAGCTGCCTCTTCTCCTCTCACCCTCCCTCTCCTTTTTCTACTTCAATCATGAAACTGATCAATGATCAGCTGATCGGCTTTTCTCTCTTGTTTGTTTATCGCCCACTTTGCGCCAGAAAGAGGAAACCAGCGGATGTCGCGCTAAACAACAGCAGCACTTAAGCTTGATCAGCTGTTGTTAGAATTTAGTTGCTGATTAGTGAAAATTACTTCATTTAAGCCACATTTAAACCATTTAGGATGACATTTAAGGACTCCTCTGTAGCTTCCAAAAACATTCTTCTGCCCTTCATCAGAATGGTACTGTGTAAAGAGTGGTGAACTGGTTGATGCCTGGGCTGTGAAAGAGGCTGGATATTCCTGTTTAGCATCTCTTGTGCCACTTAAACTTCCCTTCACTGACTAAAATAGCATTGATACGCCCTTGTATGATGTCACAAACAAATCCCGTACCTGTTCTACAAAACTGAAACCAAAATAAATCCTGATTATAAACAGAATACTAAACAGAAGGACTCAGGATGAATCACAGGGCATAACCAGTAAACAACAGAATGTATCCAGTCCTACCATACATACCATACACACACTGCAATAGTTCAGAAACAGTACATATATTTGACTACAGTAAGGTTTAGGACAGAAAAAAAATTCAGGAATTGAGAGCAGTTTGATTCTTACAATAAAAGAAGTTAAATTCACATACTGCTATGACGTTGAAATAGATCACCCTTTAGCAAACACTTGGTCACAGAAAGTAAAGAAAAAATGTCCCCTTTACCATGATTGATCAAGACTTTGTGGTAGGAAACCATCTCCATCAACCAGCTGGTACAGAGTGCACAAGGAGGCAAAAGTCTGTGTAATAGACTTGTTTTAGTCTATCAGTAAAACAAATATTCTTGTTACACAACCTCAGTACTGTATGCTGACATTAGGGTTTCTACAGTTCATCAAGTGTCTGGTCTAAATTTACAAGGGGAAATGGATGGAGAGAGATAAGGACTTGTTCCAAATACAACAAAATTTGATTTAAATATTTTTTCTTTTTTTTCTTCTTTGGTGTTACAAGAAATTGTATAGAGGATATCACACCGAGTCTAAAAGAAGGCACACAAACAGATGGTTGATTTAGTTTCTCTTGGGAAACATCAGCATAGGACATGTTGTAGATCTCAACAGTTGAAAAGCAGAACATGAGAAGTTCACTTTTGTTGGACTATTATTGAACCACCATGATCACAGAATACATTCAGAACATTGTGGGCAAAAGATTTTCCGGTTGTATTGTCCAAAGTTTTGTACAGTAGTGTTTGATTAAAGACAAGAGCTTTGAAATGAGAACATCTGAGACCTGTCTTTAATAAACTACCAGGATTTACCATTTAGAATTATTAAAGTAGAACTCTGCATTTGTTTTAAAAGCATATTTATGTCAAAGCAAAAGTGAAACAAAGCAGAGCCTTTTCATATTTTCTTTTCTAAATTCCTACATTTCTTATGTAAAGCAAGTATGTAAAGCAAGTCCTGCAACCTAAACAACACTTGAGTTACAAGAAGTCAGTAGCAAATTAGAGGAAGTGAAAGTGAAAGTGTTTCAAAAACATGCCAAGCTCCACCTCTCTCTGCTATATTGGTTTCACTGTATTTTTCCATGACAGTAGAAAGTTTACACTGGTCTCTCCTGAGATCTGAGTTCACTTTAAACAGGCAAACAAGATTTTTATCTTGGTCTCCTTCAAAGGCACAAAGTTGACATCAGGACAGCTCTGTTTCTGCTCCAGAAACCAGTTTAAGTAAGTAACTGTTAACATTCAGAGTGTCACTCTTGATCTCTTTGATAGTTTTCTCCAAAGCAAGAATAAGTAGTGTAAAAGCAGAAAATATGAACTAAGTTTTTTGTGTGTTCTGATGAATCATCTGAAGTCAAATGTAATATCATTATATCCAATCATTGTAGTCAAGATAGTAGTGCTTGGTGAAACAGTTCAGTGATATTTTAACTATACTATGATTTTAGAATCAACATGGAGGATCCACTGGATTTCTATATAGTAGATATTGCTGAAGTGAAAGAGGCCCTGGAAAACAATGATACTGCTGCAGCAACTGAGAAAATTCAAGAATGTTTAGAAAAGCAAGAAAAGATTCCATTAAACATTGCCATTACAGGAGAGTCTGGTGCTGGTAAATCCACTTTTATTAATGCCTTCAGAGGTATAGACCACAAAGATGAGAGGGCAGCCCGCACTGGTGCTGTAGAAACCACCATGGAGCTTACAAAATACCCACATCCAAACTATCCTAATGTCTTATTCTGGGATCTCCCTGGTATTGGCACTACCAATTTTCCAGCTGATGAGTATCTGAAGAAAATGGAATTTGAAAAGTTTGACTTCTTCATCATCATCTCAGACACTCGTTTCAGAGAAAATGATGTGAAACTCGCTCTGGAGATTCAAAAGATGGAGAAAAAGTTCTACTTTGTCCGCTCCAAAATTGACAATGATGTTCGTGCTGAAGAAAGAACTCAGAAAGATTTCAGTCTAGAGAAGAGTCTTGAAGGGATTAAGAGAAACTGCATTCAAGGTGAGACTGGGTTTTGTTTTGTTTGTTTTTTTAGTTCCCTTACCTCTAAAAACCAAACAAGATCTTTACTTAGAATTCTTTTGTGGACCCTAATAAATGCCACCCTGAAGATTGTCATGTTAGTATATTTAGAACTGGTCACACTGGTATGACCAGGTGTGAGGTGTGAATAAACCGATTTCAGTCCAGTCAACATGCTGACTGAGACTCTTTGTCTTTTTAATAACATGTCAGCTTTGTTAACTAGTGTAGATTCTCTAGAGCCAGAGTCATAAATACAATTTATGTATCAAAGACCAAATTTAAGGATATCTGCTAATATGCAACTTTTTAGATTTCAGAGTTTAAAAAAGGATGTAATTTTTTTTTTTTATGGGATTTTGGATTTTCTTAAAACACAGGTCTTCAAAAAGGAGGGATGACGTCTCCTAAGGTCTTCCTGGTGTCCAGCTTTGAACTCCACCTTTATGATTTCCCTCTCCTACAAAATACCTTAGAGAAAGAACTCCCAGCACATAAGAGGGATGTTCTGCTGTTTGCCATGCCCAACATCAACATGGAGATCATCAACAAGAAGAAAGAAGCCTTTCAGGCCAAGATAAAATTATACTCTGCTGGATCTGCAATGGCAGCAGGCGTACCGATTCCTTTCCTTTCTGTTACTGTTGATCTAACCATAATGGTGAAAGCTATAGTAGATTATCTAACTGGTTTTGGTCTTGATGAGCCTTCACTGGAAAGGCTTTCTTCCACCTCAGGTGTGTCTTTAGATGAATTACATGCTGTCCTTAAGTCACCACTTGCTGCCAAAAACATAACCAATGATCTCGTCCTGAAGGTGTTGTCCCACTTAACAGGCACAACTGCATTAATGGCAGCAGAGGAGGGGTCCAGATTTATTCCATTATTTGGAATCCCATTAGCAATGAGTGTGTCTTTTGTCACAACCTACAGAGCTCTGAGGTTTTTCCTCAACATGCTTGCAGACGATGCTCAGAGTGTGTTTAAAAAGGCTCTGGGTTTGGAAACTGCGGAATAAGGGAAATATTTTACTGCTACTCATATTCATCATTATTACCATTGCATTGATCAAATTAATCATCATTTCAGTAAAACATTTATTGAAGCTGTTGGCATTACATTAACCTATTTATTACAGGTACAGCTAAGACCATTTTATACACATTGCATTTTGTGCTTATTAAAGAGTTGAAGCTCGGTCAATTAATTGGAGGTTGTAAGCTTTGTTTGGCGCGATGTCCAGACAATCTATTGTGTAAGTGACTTGGAGCTATAGAAGGTTAAAACTGCGTACACGCCTACAAAACACATATAATACATATAATCTAGAAACAGGCTTGAGTGAAGGCCTGAATGTATCCGGCTTCTTGTTGCATTTGAGTTTTGCTTAGTAACAGGTGACAGAAGATGGGCCAAAAAGGAGGACCAGTCCCTGGGAAACGTCAGAGCCTGAATCCATCGCCATATTTGGAGAAGATGCTAGAGAGGGGAACTTCAGTGTCTGCATTTATCTCTTAAGATTGCTCATTGTCTATAAAACATGCAAATGATGTTCTTAAAATACAAATTATGTTCTTGTACAACGCGAGAAGGGGCGTTAACCAACCCTGACGTTGTAAAAGCAATCTGAAGTGTATTTTTGGGCAAAGATCTACATCTGATGTTTTGCAGTGTACATCTTCCCACGCGTGTGTTCAATAAACCCATCTGTTTGATTGCATCCTCCTGGGCCTCTGGTATTTTGTTTTGGTCCTCAACATCGCGAATCGGGACAAAACCTCTCAATAATATTGTATGAACAAGCTTTCATCTGAGAAAACTGCCAGCATTTTCATTTTCTTCTCATTTTTTTACTAAATAAATCACTCAATCATCCAAATCATAGCTTGTCTTAACAAATGTGCTTGTATAGCTGATAAGTTTATGAGATGCCTCAGCAGATCTCATTTAATGCAAGATAATCTTAAGTCTTTGAAACTAGACTCTAGAATGTAATCTTTAGGTTCCTGTTAGTTCCGGTTTTATTTTGGTTCTTGTGATCACTGGTCCTTGTATATTATTGTGCATTTTATATCCCCTTCTTGTCCCGGGTTCTTACTTGAATTATTTGCTTGAAAATATTTTGAATGTACTAATAAATTGTCATGTAGTAGGTAACCACAAAATTATTTAACAATTGTAGATTTAATATTACTATGTAGGTATCATAACTAAAGGTTTACAAAATATTAGAAAACCATTCTGCCTTTCTTTTGAATATTTTCATTATGAAATTGATTTGATTGATTGATTTTTATTATGACAAGCGTTCACTGTCCTTCACTGAAAAAATACCAATAATAAACAAAATGTTTGTCATTTTTGAATCATTAAACATGTACACAAATATAAGCATTAATGTAAGCATTTGTTTTGTTTTCTTTTTTACTATTTGCATACCAAATTTAAATCCACTGTTAGTTTTGTCCATTAATAAGTGATATGAAGCAGATCACACAGATAAGGAGGAGCAAGGTTATGGATGCACTTAAATGTGAGAACTAAGATTTTAGTTTATCTTAGCTTCTATGGGCAACCAGTGAAGATGTTGAAGAACTCTGGTAATATGGTCTGAATAAGTTGAAGTTTATGCAGGGCCTATTGGATCGATCGGGGAAGTAATAAGACTATGGACAAGAAATACAGCAGCATGGGGAGTAAGGAAGGGATTAAGTTGGTTACTGTTATGTAAGTGAAAGTATGCAGATCGGGTTATGTAATTAATGTGAGACTGAAATGAGAGACTGAAATGAGAGAGTACTGTCAAATATAACACCCAAGCTCTTTACCTAAGGGTACAGAAGGAGAACGACATCGCAAACGCTTCCTGGCAGTACTCCCTCTGTGAGTAGGCTGCCCGGCTTCCAGCTGCTGCGGGCGGACAAGACAGAGAGACAGCGGTGAGAGGAAAGGAGGGGGGCTGGCTGTGTTTGTTAAAGACAGTTGTGGTATCTCTGGGCACGTCGCTGTGAAAGAACAACTCTGCAACACAGACATTGAGCTATTAGCCGTTAGCATCCGTGGAGGCAGCCTGTGACTCTCTGTGGTCCGCAGACTGCAAACGCAATCTCCGAGAGCTCTTCTTCTAATATCAGGGGACTTTAATCATGTCTCGCTGGACTCCACACTGCCCACCTTCACCCAGTATGTGACCTGCCCCACCGTAGGCAATAAAACATTGTACTTAATGTATGCCAATGAAAAAGTGGCATACAGTTCATCACCTCTCCCCTGCCCAGGGAAGATCCGATCGTAACCTGAGTGCGTCTTGTCCCTGTGTGCAGCCCTTAGCTGTGCAGGGAGCCACTAATCACCCACGCAGTGCAGAGATGGTCCGCGGAGGGCATATAAATAAATAATAAAAGCAATAAATGACAGATGTTATTTCTTTTGAAACAAGTGGAGACATTAACTTTGATCAAAATCTTTTTTTCAGGTTGTTAAATTAATACCACTGTATAATAGCCTTCAAATTGTAATAATTTTAACAGTCATCTCAGGAATATTTTGCCCTTCAACATGCATTTAAAAATGAACCTGATATGCATTTTACCCACCTGTCATTGGCCTCATTCTAGATGTTGAGTCTGTACACCGGCAGGAGAGTTGAGCGCTAGTACTCTGGATGCAGTCAGCACAAGCTGGAACTGAACACGCTTAAGACTGGGAGATATCCCTCAACACTGGCCTCCCCTCACCATATCTACACTGCAGTCATTGAGTCTGTCCTGTGCTCCTTCCCCCATTTCCCAACCAGGTTTTCTTGGTATTTGGGAAGGCAAGGCCCAAATAAGCAAGGACAGGAGCAGGCTGCAATGACTGTACTGGCAGCAGAAAAGATCATTGGCACCCCCTGCCCTCCATCCAGGACCTGCACCTTTCAAGAACCAGGAAACGGGCATGGAAAATCATCACAGACCCCTCACACCCTGGACATAGACTTATTGGCCCACTGCCCTCTGGCAGACAGTATAGAAGCCTGCAAACCAGGACCACTAGACATAGGAACAGTTTCTTTCCCCTCGCCATCTCCCTCCTAAGCGGTTGAACTATCACACTGCTAGACTGCAACTGCACTCTTTGGTATTAACTTCTATAATCCTGTAATTTCTGTATAAAAGAATTAGATTGTGTATTATATTGTTAGTTTATACACCTGTGTGCATATGTGCATGTGTATTTATGTATGTCCATACACATAGATGGATTGTGTTTTACATTTTTGTGCTTGAGAGACGCCCTCAATCAGAACCTAATTCCTTGTATGTGTTTGCGCATATACTTTGCCAATAAACGTGGTTCTGATTATGAGGCATTTCCCTCTGGATGGCACACACGAGTAAATTAAGTAGAAAAAATGTCATGTGTGTAGTCTCTTTTAAAATTGTTTTTTGGAAACCACAAGAAGAGAAATATGTTGCATTCCCTTATGTCATTTTACATCTTCACTGTCAGTAGACAGTTGTGAACATATTTTGATCTGGCTTTTTTCCCTTAACTCAATAGACCTGGCACACATTCTACAAAGACAACTCTCTTCCTCTGCTTCAAGCTCTTTGCTTTAAGCAGCTAAAGGGGAGTTAATTTTCTTCTTCCGACTTAGTGCACTGAAGGTATCTTAGTCACTTCAAATCTCACCTTTTCTCCTTATTTTTCAGAGATTACAAGTTCATGTGTGACATTTATTTAAGCCACCCTGTAGCTAAAAGTAAAAACAAACACTGTAGAAGCACTTGTGGCTGTGTCCTTTGTGCACACACATTAGGGAAAATGAAAAACATTCTTGTGTTATCCCGTTTTTGGATGAACTGAGGCTTAAAAATATAGGCTAGAAAGCGACTGTTCATTTCAGCGATTTTGGTTCAGACAGCATGAATATGAGGAGGCTTGTAGAGATGACAGTAGGCAAGCAGACAAGTTTCCTAATGTTGGGCTGAATGAACCTAGAACACAGGGAGAAACCTAAACAAGCAGAAGGAACTTTAGCTAAATATATTGTCATGTACAGCAAAATTACAGTAATACAGAAGGTAAGCGGTGACCATAGAAAAAGCAAAGCAATCACTGGATTGCCTGTCCGAATTGCTACACACTTTTTAAGTATCGTTCACCAACAAACTGAGTATAACAAATCATTTTCTTTACTTTGGTAATTACAGTTAGTGCCTTATGTATAAAATATAATTTAAATGCCAGTGTTCATTATCTTGACGTTATTTTTGCAAAAAACAACACTAGCTTTACAGCCATCATCTCTTACATAATTCTACCACATTTACATAAATCACTACAAAGTTCATGTCAAACTATAAATGTAAAATTAGGCAGAAGTCTTAAATGTTTCCATAAAACTCCCCCGCGAACAGTTTAACAAAAATAATATCACGGTTAGCACTGACACATGTTCACAGTCCTCAAATTGATTTGATTTTTAACCAGGTTATAGTCAAAGGACAGGTGCCAATCTCAGAGTTAACACCGAAGTTTAAAGTCAGTTTGTTAAAACTGCTTTGTTCTTGAAAGCATTAAAATGAATTTATAACTTTTAAGTCTGAGTTGAGATGGATTCTTGAGTTCTTGGTTTGAGAACAGATGAGGGTAAATTCATTGAACCATTTACCTTGACTTAAGCACATAATTGCCCTCGTCAATCTAACCCAATACCAGTATTTGACAGCAACAGGTGAGCCTCAACTTTAATTTGTAAATAGACAAGACACCATGAGAACTGACATTACAATATTTTATTTTACAAAAGTCAGTGTCTTTTAGTTCAAAGTTTGTTTGGCATCTGTTGTACATCTTGAAAGAAAAAAAACACACACACACTCTATGCAGTGTACTATAATTGAACACAAACAATCTTTCAAAAGAATATTTCTAGATGAATTGTTATTTTCCTTCCAATACTGGAAACGTTCTGAACACCACTTATTTTGCATGCCTTGATCTTGCCTAGAGAAAGTCCCTGCGAACGCCTCTTAGACTGGAGAATTTGGAGCGGGAGGAAAACAAGCAAGAAGCAGTTATGGCTGTTTAATGCTATAAAGTGCATACGAATAAAGCTGCTGAGGAAATATTTCTACAGAAGGAGATTTGTGTTTGTAACGGGGCTAAATTGAGTTAGGAATGCAGAGGATTGTGAACATAGCTTTAGTATTGGAATGTTACTTAAGGGCCTCAAAGGGCCTTATTTGAAAAGTCTGCTATTTATAAACATGTGTTTAGACTCAAAAAGCCAATACCTTTTAAATCAATACTCTGCATGTTCATACTCAAGTGTGCTCTAACAGTACGCTCCAGATTTTGGAGCTTCCTGTTTTGTGTTAAAGCAAAACTGGGAGAAAACCAGTTTTAAGCCTGGAACAGAAAAAGTCTTAAAAATTGAAAAGGAATATTATTTACATAGAAAACCTCTTTTCTAGTCTTACAGACACTTTACTCCACGCTGCTCACATCCAGACAAATACATTTGGGACTGTGTACACACACCGTGTCACCCATCACACATAAAAAGGTTTGTTTTGTCAATTTAAACACCACCTTAACTGCAATACAGATATTAACTCAGCAGATTGATGATTTGTTTAAGTGTTAACTATTAGGGGGGAACACAATGGGAAGACGAGCACTGACCAGCAAACTACTTTGTAATTTTCTAACAAATTCTCACCTGTGAAA